CCCTCCCCGGGGCTCTGGCTGTCGGCAGCCACATCCTGTCGGCTACTTTTTTATATTTGGTATTTTGAGAAATCGATGATGATTGTAAATGGAGTGCAGGCCGGGGGAGGGGCCTTCCACCTGGGGGGGTTGCTCCTGTCCCGGAGCCACTGCGGGGGCTGCGGGCGCTTCCTCCGAGATGACTATCCCATATGTGGACTGAGTGACAGGAGGAGCCGCCGCCGCGCCTGCCCCTCTGCTGCCAGCATGGCCAGGCCGTGGCTGGAGGGGGCGGCAGAGCCCAGCTTTCAGGATCCCTGGCACGCGTCCTGCCCGGCCCCCCCCCACCCCCTCCCCAGTGCAGGGCTCCTGGGTGCTCTTGGGGCTCCTGTCTCCCACCTTGAGGTGGTGGCTGGGTCTCTAGAATCCAAGCAAAGTGAGGTGGGCTTTGGCCGAGGGGGCCAAGGTGCAGAGCCCAGCGTTCCCTTCGGGGCTGTGCCTGGTCGGCTGGGGCCTGTGGGCCGGGCACACCGCTCACATCAGGTTGGCCCCCGTCGCAGCAGTGTCCGTGCTGGGGGCCTGGGCACCAGGACCCCACTCAGCAGCAGGCAGGGGTCCTGACGGGTGTGTGTTCTGGGAGAGGGGACCTCCTGCCGCCCAGCCCCCACCCCTGGGTGTAGACCTGAGGCCCAGGCTAGGGGGGTGCTGGGGCGTTTGGGCCTCCGCTGGCGGGGTGAGCCATCGCCTTCACAGGAGATCCCGTGTCCTGTCTCCCTGTGCTCAGCCTCCGTCCTTCTCCCAAGTTTATTATATTCTAAGCTGCTCTGGGCGAAGCCCCCTGGATACCCCGTTAGGCCAGACAGGGTCCTGTCCGCATGCAGGGAGCCTTGAGGAGCCTGTGAGCTGCGTCCGCTCCGCCCCCACGTGTCCCCCTGCCCCTCTCCACGGCACCTCACAGACGTGATCTCATCCAGCCGCCAGGATGGGGTGGGGGGAGGAGGGGCTGGGGAGGGGGCTGGCGGCCTTCACAGCAGCTGCCCCTCTTTGTTTCAAGCCGCTGGAGAAACTGAGGCCCACAGTGGGCGGAGGAGGAGCCCCCGGCAGGCTTGCAGCTGTGTGTCTAAGAAGCATGGTCAGGGTGAGGGGTTCAGGACCACTGTGAACTTGGGTCGGAAAGGTTGGGAGGACCCCCGGCCCACACCTTCTGGTCGCCACCCAGGCCTGGGTGGGGGCAGGGCCGAAGCCCTGGCCGGATCCTCGGCCCCTCGGCTTTGCGGTTACTCGGGTCCCCCAGGGACCGCCGGGCCCGTCTGCGTCCAGAACCCGAGATCCCTCTGCTCTCTCGCCAAACGCCGTTAATGGCTTCTCCCAGCTACCGAACCGGCAGCTGCCTCCAGCGCTGGCGGCCTCCCGCTTCTCCCGGGGCGCCTGCCCCCCCAGCTGCGCGCACAGTCAGAGCGCTTGCGTCGCTGCTGGCAGCCGGAGCCGGTTGGCTCAGGTTTCTGAGCTGTTTGTGGGGACGCCCGCCTGTAGCTGAGCCTGCTAGTGTCTCGGCCTCACAGGCCGCCCCACGCCTCTGCCTCCCTGGCGGCCTTCTGTCGCCAGCCTCCGAATGGGGCCACTGGCCAGGACCTGGGTCTGGACCCTGCCTGTCCTGGGAGGGGTGCTGGCCTTCGAGCTGACCCACAGCCTCCCAGGTGGCACACACGAGGGCTGAGGGGTTGTGATGGCTGTGGCTGCAGGCCCCCCAGTGCCTGTGCCTGGCTCCAGCTCTGAGCAGGGGGCGGGGGGCGGACGGACCCCATCTTGTGTAGTGCTCCCCAGGAGCCACCTGGTGGGAGAGAAGAGTGGGGGGGGTGGCGCAGGGGTCAGTGAGGAAGGAGCAGGGTGGAGGTCCTCGCTCCTCAGGAGGTGTGTGGTGAGCACTCTGGGGCCCAGCAGGGTCTTGGGCCTGGGCCTGTGCAACAGCTGCAGGTGGAGGTAGGCTTTGGAGCCCCAGCTGTCGGGAGCCCCTTTCCGTGGCAACAGCAGCCCTGGCAGGTGGGGGCGGTGCTGAGCGGGAGCCTCCCAGGAGGGGAGGTTTGCACTGGGGCTGGAGCCGTGATGCTGGAGCCGTGGTGCTGGCAGCCCCTGGGGCCGGCTGGGCAGGGGTGCTGAGTGCAGAGCAGGGCTGGCTGGGCGGACTGTGCTTGGGGCTGAGGTCGAGACCTCAAAGGAGAGTGGGGAGTCTGGGGGCTGGTGTGGAGCTCCCAGGAACAGGTCCCACTGGAGGCAGCAGCTCTGTCTCTGATAGTGCGGCTCAGAGCATCCTTTGCCACTCGGCCAGGGGCCCTGGACCCACCCCCACCTGGGAACTCCCGCTGGATCCCGCTGAGCCCCAGGAGAGGGGCAGGTGGGTGGGGTCTGGGGTATCTTGGGGCAGGGGTGGCCTCTGTGCCTTCACCTGTCGCCCCCCCCCCCATAGCCCTGCAGGTGTTGGTAGGGGGCCGAGCAGTGAGCTTGGAGGAGCCCTGTGCCCACAAGCTCAGAGGCTGGTCAAGCCAGCATGGCTTTCGTTAGGGACACACAGGAGGAGCTGGGGGCATGTGGGCTGGTGTCAGCGGATCAGCTCTGCTGTCTGAATCAGCAAATGGTGGGACATTCTGATGGAGCTGTTGGGGAAGGGTGCTCTGAGTTCCCGACCTGGTACACCCAGGCCCGGCTGGTTACAGCCACGGGGCTCTCTGCGTCCGACCAGTCCACCATGGTGGGGGTAGGGGCTTCGCCGGCCTTGGCCTTTGGGTTAGGATCTGGCTTTCTCCCCTTTGGTCCTAACAACCAGGACTCATCCTGCTGGAACCTTCTGTAGGTTCAGCTGCAGCAGGTGAGCCAGGGCACTGACAGGGTGGGGGGTGGGGGGGTGAGACACCAAGGAGGAGCCTGGAGGGACTGAGGTGCAGGAAGGCCCGGGCGCTCGGAGACAGGCGGGAGCTTCGTGCTGGGGAGCGCAGTGAACACTGCCAGCATTGTAATCGGAGAGGGGCAAGGGGAAGGAGCGCGCGGAGCGAGGGCGGCTGACCCCGAGCTCCCAGGGGACAGGTGGAGAGGGAACGAGGAGCGAGTGAAGGATTCCAGAGGTGGGCCGGCTTCCTCCCTCGCAGACAGACAGGGAGGGAGGTGGCAGCGGGCCAGGCCGTACCTGCAGTTCCAATCTGCGGGCCTGACAGCTGCAGCCACTTTGGGGAGGGGGAGGGGCGGGCTCATCAAGTGGAACCGTCGCAGCTCAGCCGTGTGTCAGCTAGTGGCTGCCTCGTCCGGTGCGGTGGGGTGGGGAACCTGCCGGCCTGTCCCACAGCCTGGTCCTGGGGCAGGACAGCCCCAAGAGAGCCGGGCTGGGGCTGTCTGTGCCCTCAGCCAGGGCTCCCAGCACAGGGCCTGACCTGGAGGGGTTGGCGGCGCTCACCCCGTGGGGTCACATGTGCTTCCTGGCAGCCACAGGTGCTGAGCGGGGTGGGGGCTGGCTGGCCTGCGGGCGCAGGCGGCCTGGTGATGAATCATGTGGTGCCGCCAGCAGCTCGTTCCCCAGGCCGGGGACAGGGAGCTGACAGCCGAGGCTGATCGGAGTGTTTCCAGCCCAGCCTGGCTCACAGAGGTGGCTGCTGGCCCTAGTGCAGGCTGGCCCCCTCCTTTCCAGATGCCCGTGGGGCACAACACAGAAAGCCTGGGGTCTTTGTCCCAGGGCCGGCTGTGGGGGGAAGGAAGCGGGCCGAGGTGGGCGGGGAGCACCTGCCACCCCCGGCCCAGAGGCTGTGAGCAGCTGAGTGGACTTGCGTGGGGCCGCCCCAACCACCCCCAGTCTGGTTTGAATTTCTGGAGCAGTGGAGGGTGACGGAGTGCTCCTCCCTGCCCCCTCTCCCCTCCCCTGCTGGCTGGCGGTCCAGGCCCTCGCCGCCGCCGCTGCTGCTACTGGTGCAGCTCAGGGAGCAGCTGGGCCTACTGCCCGGCCCGTGGCCGGCCAAGCTGCAGCCACTGCTGGAGTCACAGGCGCAGCGGCAAAGGGCTTGGCCCGTGTGCACTGCCACGGACAGCCTCGACTCCCGAGCCCTGGGGACTGTCCCAGAGGCCTGTCCCCCTCCACACACGTCCTCCTCCAGGTGGAGGGTCCCTGCCTCTCTGTCTCATCTGTCCCGAGAGAGGTGTCCCTCCCGCTGCACTTCCTCTCTTGGGCCTCCCTCTGCGCCTGCTCCCTCTTCCCTTGTGGCCACTCTAGGACGGTGAGGTGGGTGCCCACTGGCTGCCCATCATCTTGAGGGTTTCATGAGGGAGACTTTCACCCCCCTGCTGGACCCAGGTCGGGGACATGAGGCCAGTGGGCCCTGGAGCCTCCACATAGCCTGCCGGTGTGGCGGGAGGGGCCTTGGAGACCCCGGGGACTGCCAGCACCTTTCCCCAGCTCAGGTCCTGAAAGTGCCCCAGGGTCCATAGAGGGGAAGGGGTGCCTTTCTCAGATCCCAGCTGGACCTAGAGTCCCCCACCTGGGTCCTGGTTCCGCGGGCGGGTGGGGGGCTTCTGCAGTGACCAGCTCACCCTCTCCTCCCCTCCCTGGACCAGCTGTAGCTCCTGCAGGATTAGGGAGAGGAAATTTGGAGTTGGGTTTCTCTGAGTGGGACCTGCCGCCTCGACTTTCTTTCCTGTTGTGTTTCTATCAGATTGGACACAGCCCCCTCTGCCCTGTAATGGCTCTGGCTCTGAGAACTTCGTCCAAAATTGCACGGCCGCTTCCTGCTCCGTGGTTCCCTGGAGCCCCTCTGCACAGATTTGGCCCTGCCCCGCTGGGGTGCCCACGTGGGCCTCAGCACCTGGCTGCTCCCGGGGGCTTAAGGGGGGGCATGCCACTGGGGGCCCTGAGCCTGCCCTGAGAGCTGAGAGGGCCCAGGACCAGCACCTGGCGCTCTGCACCCTTCCCCACACAGGGCCACAGCGCCTTTCCTCGTTCTGTGCCCGTGGAGCTCACACCACGAAACTATAATTGTCACCTGCAGGATTTTAATGGTGGGCCAGCTGTGCACAGCTCGGGGAGGGGCCTGGATTGCCCTCCTCATTAGCAGATGGGGGAGTTGGGTGGATACAGTGGTAGGTGGCCAGGGTCCTCCCGGTGTGGGCAGTGCTGAGGGGCCGCATGCGGGGCTGGGCAGAGTGCACCCCCAGGTGCATGGAGGTGGCTGCCTCCAGGCCTCTGCCAGGCAGCGCCCTTTGCTCGGTTTCCCAAGTCCATTTCTTGGGGCTCCACGGCCACAGGCTGCAGTGCCAAGGCCCCAGGGTCTGGCACGAAGCCCTGAGCAGTGGCAGACTCACTGTTCAGGGCTGCCTGGGAGCCGTGCAGGTCCTGAGAGTGGGGCCCAGGGGCTGTCTGTGTCCATCAGTCCTGCCCTCCTCCCCCTTTGCTGGTCTCCTTGGGCTCCCCAGCAGAAGGCATCTCACTCTGCCTGGAGACCGGGAAGGCGGGGTCTTCCCTGAGGACAGGGGTGCATCCAGTCTGGGGAGGGCAGGACTTGGAAAGAGCCATCCCTCGGGGGCAGAGATGGGCTCAGAACGGGCTGTGGACCCTTTGCACGGACATGTGCTTCCACCTTTGGAAGATGCCGTTTTGGTTTTTTTAATGGTACAAAACTTCCAGACTTTATATGATCGTGTCAAAGACACGAGATGCCAGCACATAGTAACCAGAAGAAAACCCAGGTAGGAAGCCAGCATGGAAAGTTCCAGTGGGCCTGGGCAAGTGCTGTGGCCAGCTCAGAGTCCTGCCGCCCTGTCTGTCCATCGACCCCACTCGGAGCTGGGGGTGGCACGGGCCCAGGGCGCCCTCCTGCGCAGAGGCCTGTGCCTGAGTCAGGTCCGTGGGGGCCGTCCGTGGGTGCCCAGTGGCATCAGCCTCTAGCTCCGAATCGCCGTCTTCCTGTCCCGGTCCTTGCTCTGCAGAGGGAGGGCAGTGTCAGGGCCCGGGCAGAGACCCGGCACCAGCCCGCGCCTCTGGGCTCCCCCACGCCGTTTCAGGTGGCGGGAAGCACCCCCTTTCGCGCTCACCCCGCTTCCCTGTGCACTTGGGAGGAGAGCACACTGCTGCGCAGCCGGAATTGTAAAATTAAATTTCCCAGATGTTCAGGCCCCAGGAGCTCGCGCGGGCTGTCTGGAGAGGAAATGGGGATTGGGGAGAGCCGGCCGTAGTTTCTCCGTGCTCACCCTGCTTTTCCGGTGCCACCAAGCACAGTGGGAGCTGTAAATCACAGTGGCCGGTGTCCCACAGCACGGGCCTCGCCCCCAGCCCCCAAGTCTCCTGCCAGCCTCCTGCCAGGTCGGACCCAGAGCCATATCTGAGTGGGCAGCCCTGAGGCCGGGGATGGGGAGGGATGGCAGGTGCCGATAAACGTCAGGCCAGGGGCGGGGGCTGCAGCCGGGCAAACTGCCCTGCAGGGTTGTCCTACTCCCTCCCTGCCCTTATGGGGGCAGGGGGCCAGGATTGCTTCCTGTTCCAGGTTGGTGCCTTCCCTGCTGGCCTCTCTCAGACCCCCCACCAGTTCCAGGCAAGGCTCTCTCCTTCCCCTGGACCCTGGGCTCTGGGGACTGTCAGGGGGAGGCCCAGCCTTGCAGCCCCAGCCTTGCCCTCTTCCCCCCCTGGGAACTGCGCCCTTGGGTTACAGGTGCTGCTAAGGGGCTATTCCTAGGCCCTGCCTGTGGCTGCCCCACGTCCACACTCACCAACTTTCTCTGATTGCTGAGGCAGAAGGTGCAGATCTGCTTGGGCTGGGCATTCTCCCCATCGCGGGCTGGGGGCGGTGGGGGGCTGCCGGCACGTGCTGCGTGGAAGAAGGCGGGCCCCGAGTGGCACGGCTGCCCGTCGCCACAGGCCTCGCCTACCAGTAGCACGTTGCCCAGGTGCGAGATGTAGCTGGAGGCCAGGCGCAGCGTCTCGATCTTGGAGAGCTTGCGGTCAGCCGGCTCGGTGGGTATGAGCGTCCGCAGCGCCGTGAAGGCAGTGTTCACGCTGTTGGTGCGGTCCCGCTCCCGTGCGTTTGCTGTGTGCCTCTGTCGGGGCTCCCGGCCCGGCCGGCCCCCAGGGCCCGGGGCGCCCCCTGCCCGACGGCCCCCGGCCCGTCTCCGGGCACCCTGGAGGCCGCAGCGCGCCGCGTGCACGCGGCAGGGCTTCTCGTCGGAGCCCGAGCTTTCACTGCCCCGGTCCTCGTCCTCCGACAGCGGGCTCACCTCGGGGTACAGGTAGCGGCCAGGCGGCGCCGAGCGCAGCATGGCGAAGGACTCGGCTGGCCGCCGCCGTCAGCTCCTCTGCGCGCAGCGCATGCCGCCGGGCCTCGTGGGCGGGCGCCCGGGCCGGGGAGGCGCGGGTCTGGGGCGCCCACGGTGGCGGTGCGCCGCGCGCACGTGTGCGTCCCGGGCTGCAGCGGGGGCTGCAGGCCCGGCCTTTATAGCAGTGGCGGCCCCTCCCCCGCGCAGGCCCGCCCTCCTCCCCGCCTCCCAGCCCCTGGAGGCCGCTGGAGCAGGGGCCCTGCGTCCCTCAGCCTTCTCCCGCCACACTGCAGGGGCCTGGAGCATCTTGCTGTCTCCGGGGGATGCAGGGGAAGTGGGAGCCCCCTTATAGGTGGTTCTAGGGCTACGTCATCCCCTTCTCTACTCCTCAGCAGAGGCTGGAGGGTCAGATGGGACCCATGACCCCAACCTTTTCCTCTGGCATGACCAAGTCAACCCAGCTGCCCTGGCCTCAGCGCCTGGCCACACCCTGTCTGTCTCTCCCTCCCATGTGCACTTGGCTCCTCTGTGCCAGGCCTGCGGGGCAGGGGGGTGCACAGAGGGGCACTGAGGGGCTGGAGTTCAGCCCCACTCACATTTACACCCCGGGGTCCCCTGGGGGCACAGCCTGGCTGTCTTGCACCTGCCCCCGCCTGGCATCAGCTGCACCCTCCAGGGCTGGCACAAACCCTGCCCTCTGCCTGGCGCCCTCCCTGCTTTCCTGGCTCGTGCTGCTCCTCTGTGCCGGAGAAACCACCTCATGCCCCTCCCCACCCCTGCCACCAGGTTCCCCACCAGGGTCTGCCCGGTTATGAAATGTCCGTGTAGACCTGGGGACACTGGAGAAACCCCCACACCCCGCGCGGGGAGAAGGAAGGGCATTGCTAGCAATGGGTGCGTCCCCCAGACGCGCTTGCTGGGAGCATTCAGGTCTGCAGGTCTTGGGTGGGCAGGTGCAGAGGGGCAGAGCCCAGAGGGTCCTGCTGCAAGGGGGCCTGGGGCTCCTGGCTGGGCCCAGGCTCATCTGAGCCCCTCCCCCTGTGGCTACTGTTGCAGGAAGCGGCTGCCTGGGCAGCAGTCCTTGTGCTGGGTGGAGGGAGGGTGGTGGCTGGCAGCGGCCTCGACCAGGAATGTGTATCCAGGAATGTGGCCACTCTGCCTGTTGGGGGTGGGGGGCAGGATGGGGAGGCGGGGGGGGCGGGGGTCTTCGAATGCCTGTAGGGCAGCATGCAGTGGCTCCCACCTCCCCTTGGAGGGGGCTGGCGGGGTCTTCCCTTGTCTGTGGCTGCCCATTTTTGCGCAAGGCCCCGCCAGGGGAGGGAGCCCACGCGATGAGCTCACTCTTGTCTGTGGCTCCAGAGCCCTGGCCAGGGAATCCGGGGGGAGGGGAGGTGCTTGGGGTCGGCACCACTTCAGTGGAAAATGTGAGGTGCGGCTCGGAGCTTCTGCGGGCTGAAGGGGGGCGGCCCGGTCGCTGTGCCACGTCACACCCCAGGGCCGCACGTGTCGGGGTGCCTGGCCCTGCCTCAAGGCCCTTCCCCTGGTTCTCGCCCTTCTGCCTCGTATGTGTCTCTGGGGGGCGTCGGAGGGGGGTGCACTTGGTGGGTGTGCAGTGCTGACACCCCCTCTGCTGCCAGGATGTGCGGAACACAGTGGGCAACGTGCCCCTGCAGTGGTATGACGACTTCCCGCACGTGGGCTATGACCTGGACGGCAGGCGCATCTATAAGCCTGTGCGGACCCGGGATGAGCTGGATCAGTTTCTAGACAAAATGGATGACCCTGACTACTGGTGAGCCTCAGGGCGTGGCTGGGGGCAGGGTGGGGGCCGGGAGCTGGTTCTGACCCCCCCCCCCCACCAGGCGCACAGTGCAGGACCTGACGACGGGGCAGGACATGCGGCTGACGGACGAGCAGGTGGCCCTGGTGCAGCGGCTGCAGAGGGGCCAGTTTGGGGACGGCAGCTTCGACCCGTACGAGGTAGGTAGCAGGGGCTTGCCCAGCATCTGGGGCACCTGCAGGCCCTGGCCCACAGCGTGTGCTTGTGCCCTCAGCCGGCTGTGGACTTCTTCAGCGGGGACCTCATGATCCACCCTGTGACCAACCGCCCTGCCGACAAGCGAAGCTTCATCCCGTCCCTTGTGGAGAAGGAGAAGGTGGGTGACCCTTTCCCGGGGTGCAGCCCACACACGGCCTGCCCTGACCCCGTGTGTCCGTGTGCAGGTCTCTCGCATGGTGCATGCCATCAAGATGGGCTGGATCCGGCCTCGCCGACCCCGGGACCCCACCCCCAGCTTCTACGACCTGTGGGCCCAGGAGGACCCCAGTGCTGTGCTGGGACGTCACAAGATGCACGTGCCTGCTCCCAAGCTGGCCCTGCCCGGCCACGCCGAGTCCTACAACCCACCCCCTGAGTACCTGCCTGGCGCGGAGGAGGTGGGTCTGGCCTGGGGAGGGTCAGGGCCCCTGCCCCCTGCCTTAAGTCCGCCCCGGCTCACGCCCACCTCCACAGCGTCAGGCGTGGGAGCAGCAGGAGCCCGGAGAGCGGAAGCTGAACTTCCTGCCACGCAAGTTCTCGAGCCTGCGGGCCGTGCCCGCCTACGGCCGCTTCATCCATGAGCGCTTTGAGCGTTGCCTCGACCTCTACCTGTGTCCACGGCAGCGGAAGATGAGGGTATGCAGTGGGCGGTGCACTTGAGCAGGGTGTGCAGGGAGGGGTACCAGCTGACCACGTGCTCTCCTGCCCCAGGTAAACGTGGACCCTGAAGACCTCATCCCCAAACTGCCTCGGCCTCGGGATCTTCAGCCTTTCCCCACATGCCAGGCTTTGGTAAGAAGGTGAGTGGGCAGGGACACACTCCTGGGTGTCCGTCTCCTCACTGCCCTCTCTCTGCAGGTCTACAGGGGCCACAGTGACCTCGTCCGCTGCCTGAGCATCTCCCCAGGGGGGCAGTGGCTGGCTTCAGGTAGGGCTGAAGTTTTGGGGGAGCCCCAGGCCAGGAACCTGGGTGGGAGGGGGGGTGGACAGGTGCTGAGGTCCTGTCTGCTGTATCCAGGCTCAGACGATGGCTCGGTGCGGTTCTGGGAGGTGGCCACTGCCCGCTGTGTGAGGACTGTGCCCGTGGGGGGTGCGGTGAAGAGTGTTGCATGGAACCCCCACCCTACCGTCTGTCTGGTGGCTGTGGCTGTGTAAGTGTAAAGCTGGGGGTTGTGGGGCAGAGGCTGCCATGGCTGCCGTGTCTGAGGGGCTGTGTCTGGCTCTGGCCTGCAGGGAGGACACAGTGCTGTTGCTGAATCCGGCCCTGGGGGACAGGCTGGCGGTGGGCAGCACAGACCAGCTGCTGGACGCATTCACCCCACCTGAGGAGCCCGCGCTGCAGCCTGCCCGCTGGCTGGAAGCTTCAGAGGAGGAGCGCCCGGGCGGCCTGCGGCTGCGTGTCTGTCATGGCAAGGTGTCCGGGCGTGGGGCCAGGTGGCATGGGAGGGGTGGGGAAGGGCTCTGCTCAGCTATCCTTGCCTCCTGCAGCCAGTGACCCAGGTGACCTGGCATGGGCGTGGGGACTACATGGCCGTGGTGCTGGCTACCCAGGGCCACACCCAGGTGCTGGTCCATCAGCTGAGCCGCCGCCGCAGCCAGAGCCCCTTCCGCCGCAGCCATGGACAGGTGCAGCGTGTGGCCTTCCACCCCATCCGGCCCTTCCTGCTTGTGGCCTCGCAGCGCAGCATCCGCCTGTACCACCTGCTGCGCCAGGAGCTCACCAAGAAGCTGATGCCCAACTGCAAGTGGGTGTCCAGCCTGGCTGTGCACCCCGCAGGTGAGGGCGAAGGGCCGGGCGTGCCCCGTGGGTGGGGGTAAGGGGACATACCCCTTGGGTGGAGCCACCAGACACCAGGTCGCCACCACGTCTGCCCCCAGGTGACAACCTCATCTGCGGCAGCTACGACAGCAAGCTGGTGTGGTTCGACCTGGACCTTTCCACCAAGCCCTACAGAGTGCTGAGGTGAGGCCTCTGCTGGCGCGTGTACGGGAGGGGGCTGTGGTCCCTCCCCGCTGCTCCCCTCAACCAGGCCCCTCTGACAGACACCACAGGAAGGCTCTGCGGGCAGTGGCCTTTCACCCCCAGTATCCGCTCTTCGCGTCTGGCTCCGACGACGGCAGTGTCATCGTCTGCCACGGGATGGTGTACAAGTGAGTGCTCAGCCCGTCCGCCCACCTCCCGTCCCGAACGGACAGGGCGCTGATCTGAGCCCCTCTCTCCCCCACAGTGACCTGCTGCAGAACCCACTGCTGGTGCCTGTGAAGGTGCTGAGAGGGCACACACTGACCCGCGACCTGGGTGTGCTGGACGTGGCCTTCCACCCCACCCAGCCCTGGGTCTTCTCCTCGGGGGCCGATGGCACCATCCGCCTCTTCACCTAGGGAGCTTTGCAGCCCTGGTCCGGGCACCTGCTCAGGACCCTCAATAGAGATGTTTTTCCCTTCTGACTCATAGTGTGACCTTGAATTTAACTTCTTGAGAGCTCTCCCCACCACACTTCATTTTATCTGCCCCCTGAGTGACCAGCTGACCTGTCCCACAAGGAAAGGCTGAGGCGTGTGCCCCCTCACCTGCCGAGGCGGGAACGGCTTTATTGGGAGCAAGGTGGGGCACAGACTGCCGGGCCGGTTGGTGCTGCCGTGGGGCAGGTACAGGAGACTCAGGCGAACTTCACCAGGCGGCCCAGGGTCTCGGCGGCCTTCCCGCGCACCGCGGGGGCGGGGTCCTTGAGCAGGAGCTGCAGCGCTGCAGGAAGGGAGGACTCCGTGGCCCTTCGAGCTGACGCCAGGCCAGGTCCCCACGCACAGCTGCGCTGGGGCCCGTCCCACCCCCTTCCTGGCACAGAAGGCAGAGCTGGGACCCTGGAGCCACTCCCACCCTGCGCGTGGGGCTGCCGCCCGCCCACTGCCCTCCTGCAACAGGCTGCTGCCGGGAGGGCTTGGGAGCCAACGGAAAGATAGTTTTTCCTTTTTTAGTGTTTTTTAAGCTCTTTTGGAACAGTTAAGAAGTTTCCGTGAATTACTAGAGACGATGAGGTCACCAGTGACAGGGAAAAAATCCTTGAAATCCAGGAAAATCACTTAGTCTCCCCCTGGTGCCCACAGGGTCAGCAGGAACCCCGTGCAGCCGGACAGGTGGGGGGGTCAGGAGGGGGGGCGGGGGGTGCTGCTAACCGGCAGTGAGCTGCTCCAGGTCCACCTGTGACCGATGCTGGGGCTCCACGTGCAGCACCAGGAACCCTGCAGGCGAGAGTCCGGTCAGGGGGGGCCCGGCCAGGTGGAGGGGCGGGGAGGGGGGCACTCACCGGTGAGCATGGGGGCCGCGGCACGGACGTCCTCCCAGCTGCTCTTGAAGTAGAACAGGCTGGTGCTCGCCAGGCGGCCCAGCAGATCCGGGAAGTGGCGCATCTGTGGAGACCCCTGGCTGGTCACATGCACCCCGTGCTGGCCACACCCCCAGCAGGCCGCTGCCACACCCCCTCACCAGGTGTTTGCACGTGGCATTGAGGAACTCCCCAAAGTGCAGGCCTCGGCCCTCCTGCAGGTGCTTCTGGAAGGCAGCCTCCAGCTCCTCGCACTCCAGGTTGGGGCCGCACATGCGCAGCGCAAACCTGCAGGCCTGTGGGGCAGACACTCAGGCCCGGGCCCAGCCCCAGGCGGCTCGCCCAGCCCCTACCAACTACTCACATCAGCCACAGGGGCTTGGGGGTCCCGCAGGTGCAGGAGCAGGGGCACCAGCCCACCCACGACCTGCTCCAGGAAGACGTCCTGGCAGTCCCCGTGGCAGGCCTTGTTGAGGTGCCCGAAGAGGCGGATGGACACAGAGCGGAACTCCATCTTCTCCTGGGGGTGGGCCCACACGTCACCCCACAGGGTGCTCCCCAACCCTGCCCAACCGCTGGCACTGGGCCCTAGTCTCCTTCCCTACACGTCCACGTCCTCGCGCTGTGGGCCTGGGGCAGGGTCCCTGGAGCAGTGGTGGAGGTGCTGGTGGGAAGGGTCAGGGGTCGGGGGTGCCACGGAGCACACTGTGGGCCCCCTCAGGCCCACTCCATCCTTGGAAGGGCCTACCTGGGGGCTCGGGGGAGGGAGCCATGGTCACCACACTCGGTTCCTGAGACCTGGGGAGCAGGCGGCAGGGCAGGGGCTGAGGCTCAGAGAAGAGGGGGCTGAGGCGGTACGCCCCCCCAGCCCAGCCTACGCTGTCAAAGAAGGG